TTTTCCATACTGTTTTTGAGTTGGTGATGTTAATGGTTTTTCTTATTAAATGGAAAGTATTTACAATGTGCGGTTTGGAGGATGGTGGAGACAACTTGGAAATTTGCCTTACGGGTGTTAAGTAACTCTCAAGTGCAGCAGCAGCCATGTTGACTGCCGGGGACATTTAAACATTTTGCAATAGCAGCCATGTTGACTGCCGGTCACTGGGCATTTAAACGTAACCGTCACAGCGAAGCAGTCCCTGCGCGCTCCCGCATCAGCGCGAGCGCGGACGGCCTTAGCAGTGCGGGGGGCGGGAGCGGCTCTCTGGCGCTCGGTTCGCGTAGTTTGCGCGGGCGAGTGGGATCTACAGGGAATCTGCGGGCGCAAAATTCAAACGTGTACGAGGGAGCCGGTATAACTGAGGTTGTGACGTGGACACCTTGATACTGAATAATACGTTACCATAGACCGTTTCAGAAACTACCTGCTAAAGTCAAATTCTTTTGAGTAAAATAAGAGTATTTTATAAACTAGATTTCCCCTTTGTCTATGGGAAACGAGTAATTCTGCAGCTGTAATTGTTGGCATGGTTTTTGCACGGTAATGTATAGTTTGCAGGCGATTGTTTTCTTGCTGGGTGACCGTTTAGGACGCCTGCTTTTGTACGTAGCAAATGTTTCGTTGTCTAAAGGGAATACTGTCGCTGCATATGATCTGTTTTGAATATTGCATTCCGATTTACCCCCTCATTTTATTTTAATTATTGCCTGTCCAGTCTAATAAACTTGATTTGTTATAATTGAACAGTGCATTGTGTATGTAATTCATTTGGTATTCCACTACAACAGCATTATCTTGTTTAAAATTCATGTTTTTCGAATATGGCTCACTTTAATTTTGATCTTTTTCAGTTAACCTTGGCAGGAGTCGGTTTAATCAAATCTGTCTGCAGCTGTTGGTCTGAATCCAGCTGCGGCCAGGAGACATGGATGAGATCTTCAGTTCGCATGTTCTCCAAAGCATTAAAAGCAAGCACAATGCATTCTGTCAGGACAGTGGATTCAGTGAAGCACCACACATCTCAGAAGCCAAGGCCAGTGAAGCTCTTTATGACACACCAAAAGAAAACCTTTCACAATACCATCCAGCTAAATTTTCATCTCATACACCTAGAAAGAATCGTCCAAAAGACTTCTTTAGGTCTGCAGAAAAAGATACCAAAGAGAGCACATTTTTAGCTTCCTATTGTGAGACTCCTAAATTACATAAAAAAGATGCTGGTCTCAGAAGACGACTTCTCATGTCTAAAGCTTCCACGGATGGTAAGACGGCTTACACAAAAACACCAGAGAGCAGGTCTTTTATGTCTGCAAGGCCTGGGACTGAAGGAGATCTGTCCACTGAAATCTTTGATTCTCCTGATACTGGGCTGTTTGAGGCATTAGCAACCAGCACTTTAAAAGCTGAAGAGATTACCTTGTCCTGCAGGAAGCGACGTCTCGTATTCTCCCAAGTGAAGTCCTCTACCCTTGAAGACGGAAGCCACAATGTTACTCAGCCTCCTCATTTTGAAGGACAGGGTACAGAATTCCTTGCAGGTGAAGCTGATCTCAGTGAAAGCATTATTTACTCGCTCCCAAACCTCCTAACCCCACAGACTCCATGTGATAGCAAGCTTTTGTTGTCTACAGATGAAACCTTCCATACTCCTGTAAATCTTGCTACAAACCTTGACAGTCTGAGTGGTTTGAGCACACCCTCGTTCACTCCGGTTTCTAAATTGGACATATCGGTTTCTGAGGACAGTGGGTTCACCTCACTAAATAAATCACAGGACTCCTCGGTGGACCATGATGGCTCATTCCAGGAACTGTTGCCTCAGTCAGCCTCCAAAACCAAGGAGACTCCAAAACTGGCCGAACTAAGGCGGCGGACCAAATTGGAACGTCAACGAAGACTACCAACACTTCGGGAGGGAGGTTCACAATCTGAGGAAGAGATCAGGGTGACTGATTTGGTGGCAGGAAAGGTAAAACCAACACCTAAGGGACAAGAGGCCTGTGCCACAGAGGAAGACCATGAACTCTTCCTGGAGAAAACTCCTATTGGAGCCACCACTGTAAAGCTTGAGGACCTCTCCCTGACACCTGCACTGCAGGTGGTACATGCCATCTGCCAGCAGACTGCCAAGTTTTTGCAGCCCCAGTTTAGCCTTGAGGAGTTGCAAATGTCACCAGAAGGTGGCCAGTCTTGTATAATGACCAACCTTCTAACAGGTCTCATAGGGAGGAAGATGGGACTCGAGAAGCTGGACATCCTCAGGGAGCTAAAGATTAGGAATCTCCAGCACATCTTGAAAAGGATTTTTAATTTGCTTTCGTCTAAAGATATCTACAGGTATTTTGAGTACTGTTTTGTAAACTTAGTAACTACGCATCAAGTTATACAAATATGTGAAAACTAACCTGTTTTACAGTTGCATCTTGTATTGTTGTGCATTTCAAGTTTTGGACAAGTGAGTAGAGTCTGGGATGAAATGATTTCACAAGATAAGATGGCGTGTCGACGGAGAAAATACTACTTGAGGGAATTAAAGATGGCACTTAAGGTAATAGCATTTGAAATATCTCCAGCTCTCATCACAAGTCATTTGATTAATACAACATGAATGGTGAAAGTTCCTGATTTGCTCCCTCTGTTTTTCGCAGCTGGGCAGTGCAGCCCATGTTCCAGACGCAGAGACAAGACTGAGTCTCCTAAGCAGGTCTCCTTTGAAGTTTGTTCAGGCCCAATCCAAACTAGCAAGCGTTCGCACACCAGTATCAGGCAGCAGCTCTGCAACCCAAGTCAGGCAGACAACGCACTCGGACAGCAAGCGGGACAAGTTCCTACAGGTGAGAGTGACTGATGTCATGGCCTGCATTGTCGGCTCAAAAGACTTTGACCAGTTAAGAGTCCCAGTAAATGTATGAATGGAATACAAGGTTGAAATCACTTGAAGGGGCAGTTCAGCCTAAAACTTAAAAAAAAAAAAAAAAAAAAAGTTTTGGATAGACAGCACTACAGCCTCTCTATCTAGAAAGTTCTGCTGGCAGTTGCTTGGTTTTTAGAGATATTGGCCATAGAAATGTAGGACTTCTCTCAAATATAATGGGAGTGAATGGCATTGTTTCTGTGGTGATCTAAGCAATTTGAAAAATTTAGCAGCAATATATCTTGCCAAAAATCATGACCTGTTTACTCGATAATCCACAGACTTTGTAGTAAGCAGCTTAATGTAGCAACTAATTTCTTCTCCTGAATGCCACACACCAGTCGTATCACTGCAGAAGCTATAGCTGGGGTGCTCATGCTTGTGTTTCCTGTGCAGTGATACGGTGGATTTCGTTAGAAGAAAATGGTAAGCAGATTAATGTAGGAACTACAAAGTCTGTGGATTATCTTGCGTAACCAGGCCATGATTTCTGGTAAGAGTCACTGCTGTTGGATTTTTCAAATGTATTTTTCTGGCATTTTAATCAACACAGAACGAATGCCATTCACTCCCATTATATTGGAGAACCACAGCATTTCTATGTCTAACATATCAAAAACTAGGCAACTAGCTGCAGAACAACTTAGATGGATAGATGGTACTAAGGCCTCTCTAAAACACCCATCTTTTGTCAGTTTTGGGTGAACTGCCCCTTTAAACACAGTGATTTGCGGCCCCAGCAAAATGTGGACTGCTGCATTGATTGAAAGGGTTGAGAACTGGGTTAGTAACTGTGCTTTTGGGAATTTATGCTCTTGTCCTGCAGGTTGCCAAAACCCTCTTCCATGATGAGTGCCTCAAACCATGTCCAAGATGTCAACATCCTGCCAAGTGCCACTCCTTCAGGGGGGAGGGCCTCTGTACTCAGGAAGACTGTGTCTACCGGTTTTGCACCTGGTGTATGTGTGCTTATCACGGGTCCAGAGAGTGTGCGAGCGGGTCGGCCAAACGTCATGGCAAGAAGGAAGTGGTGCCAGGAAGTGCTCAGAGCAGACGCAGCCTCAGAAGGTTGTGAGAGATGCTGTCTGTGTCGTGGGTTTGGGGGACAGTTTGTGTATGTCTGCTTACCGTTGGAGTTTTTTTATAGTTTGGTTTTATGTGTTTTTAAATTATGAATCTGAGACGTCTTGGGAGAAATCGCTGGCAATCACGCACGTTTAAATCGGTTTCTCTCCGTATCCGTAATGTACAGAATGTATTTTTTCCTTCAAACATGGTGTTGTGCATAGTTTAGTTTTTTTTGTGTCTGTACATCTATACTGTTTTAATAAAGCTTGTTTTTAACATTTCATTTCAAAAGGATTTAAATTGTCAGTTTACATATCATATACTGTAGTACTTTGTTCGAGAAATCAGAGTAGCCGAAGTGGTTTGCCAGATCCTTAATTAAATTGGAATTAATTTCCATTGAGCGTTTAAGGGTTAAACCAGCTTAGTGCCGTGATAGATTCCAAATTATGTGTAACAACCTGTACGGATATTTAGATAAACTAAAATACAGATCTCTTGCAAAAGCCAGGAATAGTCATTTTATGTCACTACGACTAAAAACGTGATATCATCCTGGAAATCCATGTCATAGACTGTCATCTAATGCGCATTCAGTGTTAAATGTAGAATATTTTGTCGTAAAATGCCAGTGGTTCAAAATGTCTTTCCCTGATAGACGTTGAAATGCAGGGTTGCCAGCTCATGCATCTGGCGTGATACTCTTGCTTTCAGGTGCACGCAAGAAATCTCACGCCAAATCGATGTTATTCCATTATAAACCTAAAATAAGCTACATCAAAAGCGTTGGGGCAGTTTGTAAACCCTACAGACTATTCAAAAGGTAATCAAACCGTTACATACATGTAAATGCATACGCATGTGTGTGCTGACTTGTCTCGAATTGAAAATCTCACTCCAGCCAGCTGATCAAAGTTGGCAACCCTGGAAATGACTGACTGAGTGGGACATGAGCCGCAGACGCGCCGGTTTATGGGCTTGTAGTCGGGGCTTGTCCGAGGTTCCCCGAATGACTGCGCTCACCTCCATAGCAACCTCCGGGCAGCCGACATTTACACGCGGCTGCCGAGGCGAAGGGCGGCTTTCGGCTCTGCCTACCGTCCGGTGACCAACGACCCCTGCAACTTCCCAGCATTTCCCCCAAAAAGGTCTAAATTTCAACCACAAACTTCATGCGGCTACAAAATGCTTAAGATTCTTACTACAGGTAAAACAGCGGCCCGCACTTTGACTTGGGGAATAACATTCGTTTTTTAAATTTTAAGTTTTAATGAAATATCAGATCACTAATGTGTATTATGTTTTTGAAGATGATTAAACTTAAAATTCACTTTCTTTTCAGAACCTCCGGATATATCGGACGACAACTTTGTAAGTATTTCTCATTGTAAAGTTCTGGAAATTCTGTTAAGCGACGATTGTTGTAGAGTAAAATAATGCCTGACAAGGTAGCATGTATTTCTCTAAAAAAAGGAAGCTTTATGGCTCTATGTAATTCCGTAAAGTTAAGTGATCTCCGGTCATCGGGAAGCCATAATACAAACCGCTCCTAGGGCTGCCGGCTAAATGTCAGTCACAGCTGTTGTAGCAACAGAAAGCAGCTCCGCAATTTCGCCGTCAGTGTGCAACGTAAAACTGCAAGAATGGCATTGACAACGAGCACACTATAAACGTACCCCAGTAAGGCCCTCACTAAATAAAGTCAAAAGATATAATCAAAACTACCGAAAAGACAGTATGGACCTGATGTTTGAAATATATTGGTTTTACAGCCTATCTAAGCTTTACTTTTTGGTACTTGTTAATCGCGTTATTATTTTCTCCTATCATTTATTTCATCTATACTCTTTAGTATTTTTTCAGGATTCAGTTTTGTATTTTTTTTCTTTCATTATTGTTTGCACCACGTTTACTTGTTTGCAGTCTTTACTGTGTCACGCTACATGTATGGCCTATGCTCTATCTACTTGCTGTATTCACAAGCATATCCCTCTGGGATCAATAAAGTTCATGTAATCGAATATACTCCTCGTTTAGGAATTCATATTAATTAAAATGTAACAGTATGTATATACTATAATTGTCCTCTGGCACAGAGTACAGCAGGGAACAAACACTGTTCACTCGATTTATTACTGTTGTGCAGGAGTCGTACCTGGCCTCTGATGACCTCCTTGTGCACTATTTCAATGAGTTTTTAAATCTTCTGGTAAGTATGTCACTGGTACAAATGGACAGCATATCTTAGGTTTCTGTGTGTGTACCTAAAATCAGAACTGAAACAAGCTGTAGATACTTTTTTTTTTTTTTTGATTGATTGGTTGGTTGGTTGAGTTTTGGTAATGACAGCCCAGTTTTGTAGTAGGTAACCTGTAACTGAAAATATCTATTATTCATTTTCAACAGGGGCTTCCTGAACCTCTAATGTACAACAAGCACACTGGGGCTTTTGAGGTGGTCAGTGATGTTGCAGAGTCTGTATCGAAGAGGATAAAGTCTGCACTGTTAAAGTATAAATCTGACCCACTCCTCAACAGAACATCACTTCTCCCCGACTCCTTGCCTGACAATACCTACACAGTGCAGGTGGGTTCATGTGGAACAGACACACACTTCAGCTTCTCTCTAAGGAAACAGTCTGGCTGTTTACTGCAGACCAGGAAAAAATGTCAGGTTTTCTTACAAGACCGTGATTATTTTTATGGTTCTTGCGGCAACTTTGTTTTCCAGTGTTTGGATCGAGAACAAGGAGTGCAGTGGATAAAGAAAGAAAGGCTTCCTTTATTTCTGAAAAGTGATTACTACTTTGAATACAGGTAATAAACTGCAAAGCGATTACTACTTTGAATGCAGGTAATAAACTGCAAAGCGATTACTACTTTGAATACAGGTCATAAACTGCAGTATTCCAAGTGGACTTTCTGTTTGCACCACACAAATACACTTCCATGGGAGCACTGTTTCAGAGTTCCTGGTCATGCCGTCATATTTCCTGAATGTTTCCACTCGTGGTTCTTATTCTTTACTACTGCCCCATGCTTCCTATTAAGAAATGGCATATTGCTCGTTACCATCTGTTCCCGACGTTCTGCTGCAGGCTGGCTAAACTGCTGTCTCAGGTGGACAGTGTCAGCTCGAGTCAGAGTCTGCTGGTGGACCCCATGTATCGGCCCTGGGCAGCGAGCCCAGAGACCCAAGCCTGTTCCTCAGGGAAAGACGGGAACAGATTACTCATGACGATGCACTACGCCTCCCTCCGCCAGGTAATCAGGGTACTCGATTGCACCGTAATTAATCTCAGCATTGAAGACTGGTGCTGTAACAATGTTAATAGAACTTATTTGGATTAGCTGGCTAAAAATGGCAGCAGCTAGTTATGGACATGGCCTTGTTACTTGAAGGATGTTGGTTCAAGTTTCAAAAGGGGGTCTGCTGCTGTACCCTTTAGGAAGACCTTAACCTGGAATCTGGTCTAGTAAAATATCCAGCTGTATAAATGGAAATTAACTGGCAAACCGACATCTAAGAAATCTATGGTTCAAATGTAAAGAACATATTTTTCCATTTTGACTTTTAACAATAGTGCTCTTGTTCTAATTAGGTATATAATTAGATTTCTTTATGGAAAACAAGCCTGGCTTGTCAGAATTCAAATCTGTCCCCACAAAATTTAATACCCAGCCACCAATCAAAAATGTATGCCAGTGAACTGGCAAGAGTATGGATATTTTTTATTTTTTTGTTTGGGTAACAGTCTTCTGATTTCACTCATTAGAGGCAGAATGAACATCATGCACTGTTGGAAAACCAACTGGTCTCTTTGTATGTTTCATAAAAGGCAACCAAGCAATAAACGGCAATAACTTTAAATATCAAACAGTTGTCCTCTTCAGCTGAAACATATAAAATTATCCAGTTTTTGCATTTCAGAGTTTTTCTGCATCTGTTCCAGAGGTCAATTTAAATGACTTTTTATGAAGAAATATTTATAGGTAGGATTTATTTTTATATAATAATAGGCAGCGTGATTTTTTTTTTTTTTACCTTCTGTATATCGTGCTTCTCTCAGCGGTTAAAAGAATGTAATAAAATGGAAACTCCTGAATAAATGTCATTAGCGCTTTATTTTAATGATCTCTTCTGATTAACATCAGCATGTTTTATGTTCATATGAGCCATAACAGAACCTGGCAATGCCCTGTAGTTGGCGTGACAGTGATCGCGGCTCGCATAGAGCTTTCTAATGTCGGAAGGCACATGACCTCACCACACGGTTAGGACCTGGGGACCACAGCACATGCAGCTGGGCTAAAAAAAATGCAAATGCAATCCTTGCAGTTTGGCACATGTGTTCACCATTACTGCCACAACAGAATCGTGTTCCATCACTGTAGAACAACTTAGACTGGTTACAATTAACAGCATTTGACCGTTACTGAGCGGGAGACGTGAGTGTAGACATGCTGTCAGATGCCTCTTCCCTTTTTACCATGTTAGTTTTAGGCTTTATACAGCTTATGATACCTGGCTTTGGAGTTTAAATAGCTGTTATAAAGTAACCTGAAATTGACCTGACAACATTATGAGGCTGCTATCAAATATATTAAAATGTTTGACGGGAATGCATTTGCCTGGGTTTCACAGAACTTAAAGGTTGCATTGTAATTTGTAATCTTGTGAATGTACATCCCACTGTGACGGGTATCCGTGATTGTTTTTCACTGGATAAGCAGAGTCAGGCCTTGCTGAGCACCCAGTCGGTCCAGGAGCTTGAGTGTTACCTGAAGGAAGGAGGTCCACTCAGCCCAGCAACAGACCCTGCTAGCAGCCATGGATTCCCACCACCCTCCTCTAAAAGCCCAGAAATGGAACGGCCCACCTTTGCCTCCTTGCTCTTGGAGCGTGAAACACAGAAGCAGAAGCACATCAAACCTATGGAGACCAGGTTGACCGCCATCACCTCCAGAAGCAGTGGAGCTACGGCGGACGTGGGAACATCTTTTGCTCAGGGGGTCCTAAGGGGTGCTGTGTCAGAGGAGGAAGGTAAACAGAACTGCAAGGCTTATGGGTCAAGGTCATCACTGCAGGAGCCAACAGAGCCATGTGTTGAAAACCTCCTTGGTGGGGCCCCAGTCACTTACCCTACTCAGCCAGCAGAGGAGAGTGTAACCTCAGAGACGGTCAACAAGGAAGACGAGAGTCACAATGACTATAGTCTCCTTGATGATGACCTCCATGACTCCAATTATGGCCTAGAGGAATTTAAAAGCTTTCTGCAGGGAACACCAGGCGAGAAACTCTTCTACCTTTGGATGGATATTGAACGACTAAAAACTCTTCAGAACCAACATAGCAAAAACAGGTATCTTATTGTTGTGTTTGAAGTAAATTGCTGTTAAACAAAATGTTTATGCATTTTTATATCTGGTCTCTTCCCTAAAAGGGGATACAGATTCAAGATTCTTGTTTATTGTGTGCATCCCTGGGACAGACACCTGGTTCAGATGAAAGACCAGTACTTGCTGAGCGCTGGACCCTACACACTGAGTGTGGAGCTGCTGTCCAGGCTGGGAATAACCAGCACCCTCTGCTGGAGGGAGGACAAATTACATCTTGTCCAGGCAGAGATAACAAAGTCCCTGCTCCTCTACTGGTTAGAACCAAAGTCCTGTTACCCAATAAACTGCCGCACTTATGATGTGCTTTAAGTTTAATTTTCTTTCTCTTATTTTGTGATGGTTTTTCTTTTAACTTTCACTAATAAAACACAGCTTTACATTGCTGTCATCCTGCTCAGGTGCCCAAGGTTCTGGATGGTCTGCTCAACCCGAAGTGAAGGCAGCGTGCTTCATATGAGGCTCTGGAAAGAGCAGCAGCTGTGGCCACCAGCACACTTTGAGCCTTACCCTGGGGCCCTCGCCGTATGCTATGGGCAGCACCGTCACCCCATGTCCTGGAATGCTCCCTCTGTTCGTCAGCAAGTAGAATTAGTCCAAACCCTAGAGAAGTATTTAGAGCTGTTCTTAGTGCAGTCCCACATGCACATTAATGAATGTCATTGTGTTTCTGCGCCTTGCATTGACTCTTTGTTTGTTACTCTGGTTTAATGGAATTTAGCAGAGAGCCTGCAGTGGTTTTGCTGGTCATCTTGATGCCTGTGTGTGGTGTATGTGTCAGACTTCACCAGTGCTGACTGGGAAAGCTGATTTCCAGTGGAGGCCCCTCAGGCTGCCGAAGCGTTCAGCATGGACTGTGTGTCTGGAGCCTGTGTCAACCAGTACACATCCCATAATGCCCTGGGCACCTTCAATCAAGTGCCTGTCAAGTGCTGTTGAGTCCACTTTAGAGGAGATCCCACCCTTAGATCACAGTGCAAAGAGGATGATGCAGATCATTGAAGAGCCAGAGGTAGGCCAACAACGCTGAGAATACTCTGTTACTACTGCTACTATTACTACTATTACTACCGCTGGTACTCATGCTTGTAGTACTGCTGCTGTTGCAGGTATTGTTGATCATGGCTATATTTCTGTTGTATTGCAATTGTACTGCAGCTGCTTTATGAAGTTGTGAATTGATTCTGAACACTGCTAAGAGTGAGCTGGGGACCTTGTATCACAGCTTTTGTGGCTGATGGCTCTCTGTATGTTCCTGTGTGTGTCTGGGGGTGCGCACTCTCAGGCAGGTGGTGACAGCACGGACGACCTGCTGCGGGCCTTGCACTGTGAGCCGCAGGCGGGGTTCTGCTTCCTGTGCTTCTGTGAGCGTTCAGGAAACCAGGTACTGGCCAAGCAGCGGTTGCCCACGGATTGGCCGAGAAGGCAGCCATGTGGATGGCTTAAGGTCTGTGGCCTCAGAGGTCTAGCTATGCACTGGGCTATACTGAGGGCCAGCTGGATAAATACAGATGTATGAATGTGATAAAATATGATCACTGAAATGCAGACTGATCTGACTGGTCAACGTTGTCTTTGGAAGGGAATGAACGTCAATTCCGCCAGAGAAACACCCCATAACTATCTGTACCGATTGTGATGCTCTGGTTCAGGTTCTGACATTGAGCTTTCTCTGCAGCTGTGGCAGAATGCCATCCATTTTTGGTCTGACCTGCAGAGGTACCATAGTCTGTTCTTCCTGGACGGGCCTGATCCCTTCAAACTGCAGCGGCAGGCACAGGTGGGTTTCGCCTGCATGGGGAACTGTGAGTGGGATGTGCAGGATCTTTTGGAGCATGGCATTGTTGAGAGTGGTGGGGGAAAAGTCACATGACCTGAGAGTGCTAATCAGAAAGGCCTGATCCACCTATTGACTGTGTGTTGATGAATTTTGACCCCTCTCAGTTCCTGTACGCCACATACCTGTGCTCCAAAGCACAGATGAACATTGGGGCCGGGGAAGACTGCAGGCGGCTGGTGTATGCTGGTCTGACTCCGCCCTTTGAGGAGTTATTTGACCAAGCGGAAGAGCATGTTTTGGCTGTTCTTCAGGAGCCATGGAGACTGCTGGTTGCCGAGGAAGCCTCTGCCTTTAAAAGGGTCTGTACCCGCTGTCAAAGGTCATGACCTTCACTTACATTATGTCACTGGCTTTGTTGGCATTTCACAGCATTTGTTTTTAAGATCAGCTGACCCACATATTTAAGGTAGTATGCCTGGAAGTGAACTTGAAACCAGGGTGTGTTTTACTTTTTTGCATCCCAGGTTGGGTTGCAGAAGTCGACCCGGTATGTGGACACACCACACTACAGGAAATTGCAGGCTTTACACAGGAAGTACCAGAGCAGACTGAAGCAGGTGAGCCCCCTGGTGGTTGCTGGCAGTTCTGCAGATGATTGTCTTGTTTCCATCATTTTGGATCTCAGCCCCTAACATGTCTGTGCAGAGCATACTGGAAGAGGACCAGCCTCCGCCTCAAGAGCCAGTCTTAAAAGACCCCGACTTGTGGGAGAAGGTTCCAGAGGAATTCCGTAGATACCGTTTTGGGTCCATATTGCGCCACCGTCTGGAAATCCAACACTTCCAGTCCTTCCTTGAGGAGAACTCTGCCATGTAGGGGTTGCTGTCATGTCTTCCATAGAAACTGAGCACCTTGAAAGATATTTACTGATTTAAGATGTGATCACCCTGAGTTTGCCGAGTTTACACAACCATGTTGTTTCCTGCGGTGAAAATTGCGATTAGGTGTTTCTAAAACATTGAGTGAAGACATTGACCTAAATCGCCAGAAGAAACAGAAGCTGTAAATGACTTCCAGTCAAACCTGCGGGTTAGATATTGTACCTGTGACAGGAAGGTCGCAGGTTTGAATCTCAGGCTTTGGCAGAGTGATTTCACCATTGGGCACCTGGGCAAGCCCCTTAATCCCCAATTTCTCTGGCGATCATCTCACCCAGCCTTCCCAACTGTACGCTGCTTTTGATGAAGTATGTGCTAGATCAGGGGTCTCCAACTCCGGTCCTGGACAGCTACTCTCCAGTAGGTTTTCTATCCTACCTGGCTTCTGATGAGCCACACTTGTTCTGGGTATTTAACCGGAGAACAGGTGTGGCTCATCAAGGTGCTAGATAAAGAGAGATGTAACCTATCAGGACTGCTGTCGTTTAGGGACTTGGTCAGAGGGGTTTTGTTTAATTCTCTTAAAAGCAGCTAACTAGCTCTGTGTGGAATTGGCATTGTGGCATTTTCATTCAGCAGATGTCACTGTTACTCTCACTGAGCTTTTAATATTACCCGCTTCTCCTGGTAATTAATTCCCACAGCATGTGTATTTGTCTGGCATAAAGCTGACTTTAAATGATACAGTTTACTCAAACATATTGTTTCAAGACGGTTAACAGTGGTTAAATGTGGGTTATGGGGCACCTGAAATTATTTTGGCCAAAACGTTACGCTTGGATTTGAATTGTGTGTTTTCTTTGTGCACAGCACGGACCTGGCCTGCTGGTTGGATGTTGAGCAGTTTCGGAAGATTCCTCAGAAGGACAAAGCGCAGAGGGAGGACAGCTGTAAAGCGTTCAGGAGCAAATACCTGAACAGGAAGTACTACTTTGGGCCCGGCAGCCCAGCGAGCAGAGAGGAACAGGAAGAGGTCAGGCTTAGTCTCACGTCTTCTCATCAGATTCTGTTTCTGCCCTCAAGAAATGCCTTGATTCCTCTACTAGCCTGATGCCTCTTTGCACTTCCTGAATGTTGCACTCCTGGTTAGTGAATAGTCTTATTAGGCTGCTGCCTTGTTAGAAGTTGTGTCTCTCCTGCTCTAATACTGCTTACGCTGTACCTGGCCGTTCACTGGAAGCTCAGCCTAGCTGCACTTGCGCCTCGCTGACTCCTTGACAGTAGGTATGTTTGCAAAGTGCTATTTGCCTCACTTGCATGTCACTTGAGACAAAAGTCTCTGCTAAATATGTAAATGTCTTATTCAAGCAGTCAGTCTGGTTTCGGCCCACAATTAGCTGAATTGGAATCTCTAAATTGCCCATAATGTGTGATTGTGTATGCATGTCCTGTGATGGACTGGATGAATGATTTGGGCTGCTAATATTGGATAAACATCAGGACCTCCCCTTGGCTTCACCGGGGAGGCCTAGTGGTGGGTGTGCGGTCTTGTCTTCCTCGTACTCTCGTGCCCTTTCCTGCATCTGTTTTTCAGGTTTGGGGTTAAGAATTTACTGTTAGTTAATTAATACAATGATAGTGCCATAAGCGTTTGTGTCTGTGTCTGTGTTTGGGCTGTGCTTTCCCTGCGTTTATCTGCTGTGTGGATATCAGATGAGTCGCCTGTGCGGCGGCTGGGGGCGGATCCTCCGCGGCCGCCTCTCGGCGCCCGCGCTGGTGGAGGTGCAGAGCCAGGCAAGGCGGCGCATCGACAGGAAGTGGCTGCCCCTCTTCCTGGCCACTCCGCAGTTTGCGGAGCGCCGGAGGTCACAGGTGGGGTAAGCCTCCGGTGTGGGTGGGCATTGAGAACAAGGGAAGTTTACATGCAAGACTGGAGGGGGGGTTGCCGTATATAATCTCCACATTACATCAGCCTCACAATAGCATGATGGAAGGCAATGACTGTCATACAATTTATTCAATATATATATATGAATTTATACTACTGCCTCGAGAGAAAGTGAAAATGCCACCTACCAATATATAGACACTCCTCTACTTACGAATGAGTTACGCTCTGAACGGCCCTTTGGTAATGTTTGTAAGTCGTTATTAAGGGTATACTCAAGTACAAAGAACTGGGATGCTAGGAGTACACGCTACGCTGCTGCGCGGCGGGAGTAGCGGCCAGAAGGCGTACTTAGGTGGAATTGGCGCGCAGAAAAAAAAAAAATTGGTGTTGCGGACAGGAAATGGGAACCCAGTGAACACAATTTGGACTTAGTCCTCTTCGTTCATATGTCTGAAAGTTCGTAAGTTGAAGGCTTGTAAGTAGAGTGTCTGTATAGCTAATATTGATTGTATATCACATAATATATTAATACTTATATTGCAAATTAGTTATGTAAATCCTGTAGGGGGTGTCATGTGGGTAGTACTGCTAGCTCATATGTCCAGGGTTGGAGGTTGAGTTTTCAGGTTCTCACATGTAAGACAATAATGAGAGACTGAGTAAGGGGGATGCCTTGCATTATGGCAGAATACTGCACTGCAGAGGTGCTGAGATACGGTGTTCTGCTGCAGGTAAAGGAGGTGGAGGACCAGATGTTTTCTCGGAACCGGAAGAAGAAGGAGATGTGGAAGGTGAGGCCCGGCAGCATTTGAAGGTGTGCAGGAAGGACACCCTACCAGCAGCCAAACACAGCGCTTTAATGGCCCTGCAGCTCACGGACAGTGCTTGGATGGCGACCTCCAAAGAGATCCTGGTCTTCCGCAAGGCACTGCTCAACCCGGTCACCTGCCGGCAGTTTCAGCACTTTGTGTCCCTCAAGGGGGACTTCCTGGAAAACGGGGTGCTCTTTTGGCTGGAGGTGCAGAAGTACAAGGTACATCCCCTATCGCAGAGCATGTGCACGCACTGCACTGCACTGCACACTGCGAGTGATCAGTGTGGTGGAAAAGTCAGATCTCAACAGGTTAACAAACAAGCAGGAGAAGAGGTCATTTTAATGCTAGGTTAGTTTTTGCTTGCATACGAACTGAGTCTCACCGGTTTGGTTCCACTGCAAGTCATGACAGGTTAAATACTTTATAGTGACACATGACATCCATACATTTCACTTTGATTGGTCAAATTAACTTTCTGGCCACTCCTGTTGCTTAACTTGTCTCCACACCCAGGATGGATCGATCTTCTCTTTCTGTTGACCTTCTTCTCTTTTCCAAATTCTGTTTAGCAATCTCAGTGGTTTGTAACATTTTTGCATAAGCAGTCTTGTGTGTTTTTATTTCCATAATCTATTTAGCACATGAATCAGTTTTGTAATATGCATTTATACACTTATTTAGCTTATGAATAATACTGTATCACTCTCTTGCTTTCAAATCAAACGTTTCTTCCTATGTCTGAATGCCCCCAGGAGCTGCACCACTCGCACTCAGATGAAGCCACCATCCAGAAGAAGGTGGATGCTATCATCAGTTGCTTCATTGATTCCTCCATCCCACCAGCGCTGCAAATCAGCATCCCGGCTGGGCAGGCGCAGGACATCCTGCAGCGCAGGACGGAGCTGGGGCCCTATGTGTTCAGAGAGGCCCAGGTCTGGGAGTGCTGGTTTGTGGATAAATGCTGTCGTTAAGGCAGTGTTTCTCAGTCCGGTCCTCGGGAACCCCCAGGCAGTCCACAAAAACGCAGACTGTCTGGTGGTCCCCAAGGCCAGGGTTGGAAAACATTTGAGTTAAGAGAACATTCTGGAATCTTGGAGATCAAGGATAATGTGTGATTAAGTGGACAAAACTGTCTAGAGTTGGATCAGCAGATCTCCTGAATCATATTTATAGGACATAAAAAAGAACATACTACTTTGAATATGCAGCATACATTTTTTGCTAATTTTTCAAATTCTCTTACTATTATTAATGAACCAGTTCTGACAATACAAGCACAATATTCAAGTGCGTATCCAGGACTGCTAAAATGTCCCTTTATAAAGACTGTGGTCCAGCTGGACCGGGTCTTTGTGCTGACAGCTCCCTCTGGTGTTCGGTTTTGTGATTACACAGATGACGGTCCTGGGTGAGCTGTTCAAGCTGTGGCCACAGTTCCTGGCTTTCAGGAGCAGTGTGGAGGATGCACAGGTGCTCCCCCTGCTGGAGAGCTATAAGGAAGCACAGCAGTGGGAAATGAAGCGGCAGAGAGAAAGGAAACAGGCACAGGTAAGAGGCTATAGGTCCAATACTGCAATAGGGTGCATCTCTGATTTAAAGGGGAAAAAAACTGTTCATAAGTGATTTAAAAGATTGTGAAGTTAAGGGGCCACAGTTTAAGTAGTCACAGTATTTATCAGTTCTGCGATTTCTCTTTCCCGATAACCAGGAGGAGGCGAACAGGCAGAATTTGAGCTTTGGTGAGGGTCTGCTGGGGGATTCCGGCAGCCAGGAGGACTTGACAATGGGGACAGGAAGCAGCGACTCGACGCTGCCCACGCGGCCGGTGAGTGAGCCGCGGCGGCCAGCTCCCATCTCCTCCTCTCTCCCGCTTTCTCATTTGTCTTTAATTCACTCCCTCCCAGGTGTCCTGGTCCTATTCCAAGTACATGGTAGCGCTAGAGCAGGAGCGGCTGCTTCTCAGGAGACACGTGCGGCCGGAGCAGGAAGCGGACACCATCCCCAAAACAGGTCCGCACATGCTCACCACATCAGAAATGGTCCTCAGGCTGAAACGATCCATGGTTTGGACTGACAGCCTTCCCTTAATACAGCTCACCATCAGTTAGAGTATGTATATCACTTTACTATATCATACTTCAAAACAGTATCAAGGCTGAAGATAACAGCATAGCCATGTACTTGCAGGCTGGCTTTAGCTTTCCTCTTACCAAAAAAATCAGTGTTTTTTTTTCTTCAGATGCACGTTATCCATCAGCACCATAGAAAAATATCCTTTAAACATAAGAAGAAACCCTACCAAACTGCACACAGCCATATTTATCCATCCTATCCCTTTGTATCCCACACTCTGCATCAGGAAAGCATGGTTTTTATTTTTCCAGCTTAGTTCCAGCAAATTAAATGTAGCCTTGTCTTTGTTTCTTCATGGTGATGTTGTGTAACAGCAGAAAGACACGGGCGTGGATCTGTGTGGCCACTGAACAGGGAAGGGGGGGGGCGGGTTAAACCGACGTTGGCATCACAGAGCATGTGGCACGTTACAAAGCCGAATGACCGCTGCCGCTTCAGGACGCCAGCTCTGTCCCCTCTAGCAAAGAGGCACGCAGGACAGAGCAGAGCCTATGACTAATCTGACAGGATGTTTGCAGTCCATTCTGTACAGATGTGCCATGAAAGCAGCGTAACCCAACCGCTAAAGAGCGACACTGACCACTATTTGACAGGTATGGAGAATGAGCTCTTCCGGAGGTCGCTGTCCTCCTGGCCTGTTAGGGAGTGGGGATGGAGGGGGCCGTGTCTCTGGTGGGTGCGGGCGGGCGGACATCCTGACAGCATGGAGCACTGCAGCTCCTCACCCCTGACCTGCCTTCCTGTCCGGCCCCTCCTGCTGCAGAACCGCCTCCTGGGTGCAATGGTCAGTGGAAGGGCACGAGGCGCCGCCGGGGCCGGATCTCCATCCCGCCGCCGGTCCATGGCCAAGTTGCCCTGGATGCTCCCGCCTGCTGCTGACTCCAGCTGCTGGGGAGATCGATGGCAACACAAGTGGAGAGATGGAGCAGAGAGAAAGGAGAGGCAGGATGCTACCAGCTCCGGCCCACACACAGCGGTCCCCAGTGTAATTCCATTGTTCAGAAAGGGTTCCCTGTTCCTCTAGAATGACCATCAACCTCTCGCCATTCCTACTTCCACACCATACGAACAGTATAAAGAAATGCTTCATGTGGAGATAGAAAACGGATTTAAACGTGAGGATCTGGCTGTACAGTAAAACCTCGGATTGCGAGTAACTTGTTTTTTCAAGATGAGCAAAAATTTATGAACTTCAGCTTCATAAACGAGCGAGGTCTTGCAATACGAGTATTATGTATATGCATTTTTACATGAATATTTTTGGGTTGTGGAACGAATCATCTGAGTTTACATAATTTCTAATGGGAAAATTCGCTTTGATATACGAGTGCTTTGGATTACAAGCATGTTTCTGGAATTATGCTCGCAATCCAAGGTTCTACTGTATATGACAACTGTGTCACCTTTTCAATATTAAAATATATCGGTCTTAATGCCATTTTTCATTGGCTCACTTTAGGTAGGTAAAAGTTGCTGCAATGTTTATTTGGGAACAATGCAATCGGTGTGTTAGTCTAATCCACCTGAAGACTGTATAAACGTGTAGTAAGTGTAACGTTTCACTTAATCAGTCTCTTCAATTTCTGGTTAGCTGCTTTACTGAAAAGAAGTGAGGCTGAGTAGTGCTCCCTGTGACGGTCTGCAAGTCATATCACAGAGAACAGCCTATGGCGCCCCCCCAGTGGCAAACGTTCTAGAACATGAAGAATAAAAGTAAAAGTAAACCTAGAACTTTGAGGCTAAAGGGAAAGTAAACATTCTAGAAGGCTGAAACTAAAGGCAAAGCAAATATACTGGAACAGAGAATAAGACGATAGCAAAATCTTTGGAATAACCAGACTAAAGAGAAAGCTAACATTCTAGAATGCTGAGACGAAAGGGCAAGAAACAATGTAGAACACTGCGACTAAGGGAAAGCAAATGTTTTAAAACACTGAGACCAGAGAGCTAATGTCGGTCTTGGAACAGCACCAGTAGCCTGAATGAAACAAAAATGTACACAAGACATAGTCTAATTTTGTAACCTACCTGTAACAAAATTAATACTTGTGCAAAATTTGAATCCCGTGTATTTTTTAATTACTATAGCCCCAAGCATGAAAACTTTTTACACAAAGTATCAACTGAACATTTCATAAATTTGCTAAAATAAATTTATAATGTTAACTTTGATCAATTTAATCAAAAACACATAGTGGTATTCTTAGCTTGAAATGTCATCCTTATAAACAATTATTGGATACCCAAGTACACAGAAATATATGGTATTTACTTTTTTTAAAAAATAATTCTCACCTTTAAGTTACTTCATTTTATTAGAATTAAATATGCAAATATGTAACTATATAAGATTGTCATCTCTATGTAAAAGCATTAGATGTTTTACAAAACCTCTCTTACATAAAGCTATCTTAGTGTCAACATTTTTAGAAAGCCAACATTAATACATTTTCTTCCAGAAAGCAGACTTGGCAAGACGAATGTAAAAAAATTATGCTAAATTTACCTAATGAGTGTGAACCACATGGCATTAATGAGAACATTCTCTGAATGGGGACCATTCTGGTGTAAGTTGGTACTGTTGTTTCTCTTCAGTAAACGATATTTATATTGCACATAAAAGGCCGTAACAGAAACAGCTGCAAGTCAGTTTGATCCGGTTACACACATCGCCTGTAAACAGTGATTCTTCCTTCTGGAATCATGTGGAATAAAATGAGAAAAAGAAGCTTAAACATCCGAGCGGCAAACTGCCGGTGCGTACAGGAAAAATGTTACTGACCACCTCAAAAACCAAACATTGAAGTCTTTCCCCCCTCTCTCTCTATTACATTTTTGGTTCAAGTAGTAACTCTAAATGTCTTTTGCATAAAATGTATAAGGCCTTCTCATATCCGGCGATTTAACCTGTACTCTCCAAACAGGAGAATTACGAGAGCTAAAATGTTGAGGAGGAGGAGTGTGTTCAGGGAATCAGCGGTGAGCTTGGCTGGTGCGGGGGGAGGACAGGCGACCACCCCTCCCCCCGATCAGTGGAAGCCTATGCGTAAGGCCTTGTTCTTGACCATGGTGAACTTGCTGACGAAGACGCGAGCAAAGGCGGGCTCTACCAGGTAGCGGTATGTCTTGGTGATGGCAGCTGGGGGCTCAGCGGGGGTGACCGGGGGCTGCTGTGAAGCCATACCCGACAGGGACAGGTGCTGGGAGGCCCGGGTCACGTACTCCACCAGCCGCTGGTACTGCTGCTCCGTGAGACGCTCCCGGCCACCGTCGCCCTGCGGGGACAGGGGTGGGGACCCAGTTCATTCCTGGCCTTCTGGAAAGTTCCCATCTAAGGACCCACTTACAGTGTGTCTGGCGTTTTCACCCACAAATACCCAGCTGGGTGCCCGGGCGAGCTCACCTCGGCCTCGCTGGCCACCCTCTGCTGGCACAGCGTGAGGGTGAGCACGCCCTCCTGGCCCGGCTCCGCCCGGCACTCCACCTCGGTGACGGGGAAGGCCTGCTGCTGGGTGTCCTCGCTCAGGCTGACCACGAAGAGCACCTCACTGGTGAGGAGCAGGCAGCCCGCGTGCTCCTGCCCCGAGCCGCTCACAATGGTCACGTCCAGCGCCATGTGCACCTCGGGGCGGCCGAGGGACTGCAGCATCTTCCTGTGTGACACATGAACGCTCGCTCTGAAGTACGGGCCAGCCCGATTGGACCAGAGGGGCAGCCCTGCTCTCTAAACCATCCATCCATTATCGTAACTGCTTAATCCCCACGGGAGGCCTGGAACCTATCCTGGGAGCATTGGGCGCAGGCGGGAACCAACCCTGGGTGGGTGCTTTCTAAACCAGTGTTTCCTAATTTGGTCCTTGGGGACCCGCCGGTCCACATTTTTGCTCCCTCCTAACCAGACAGTCCACATTTTTGCTCCCTCTACTGAGACCTGGGAGGGAGCTAAAACATGGACTGTCTGGGTTCTCGAGGACTGGACTGGGAAACACTACATGTATCACACAGTATCTCAGCAACTCCTGTACACTCTTCATCCTCCACATGGAGTCTGTCTTCCTTCACATGGCTGCTGCCCCCCCTCCCCCCTTATTAAACACTACAGTTTTATTATTGCTCCCTCCCTGTCACGTTCCGACCCTGCGTCCCTCCTCCCTCGCCTGACCTTTACCACCCTCTTTTCCCCATGAGGGAAACATCTCTGGTTAAGATCACTGTAAAAACGCAAGGCCGCTCCCTCGCCAGGAGGTCCTGCTGACGGCTTTCAGAGAGCGTCTGTGCAGCAGCAGAGAGGGCGCCGTGCCAGCGGGCCACTCTTACCAGGCGTATTTCACGTGGCTGTTGGGCGCCGCCGCCGACCTGTCCTCCGTCGGGAGGTGAAGCTGTCTGGGTAGCTGCCAGAGCCCAGCGCCGTACAGGATGCCTTTGGAGATGAAGCACACGGGTCATCGGGGGACACGGAGAGGGGTGTGGTATGGGGCATGGTGGGGGACATACGAGCTGGAAAGGGACAGAGCTAAAACACATAGTGGGGCCGTGGCATGGAGATGGGGTATGAGCTTCAATCCAAGGTCGGCAGGGTCACCAGCCCACAGGGGAGTTCCCCGGTGCCGTTTCCTGTGTTTCCGTGTCCCTGTGCGAGTAGGTTGTCCTCACCCTGCCGTCGCCCGCACCGGAATGCGCTGATGTCATGCAGTTCATAAAGCACACGCAGACCTCTGGCGATGATGTCATGGCAGAGGAACACGGGGCGGCTGCTACCATGCAACAACAAAGCACTTAACCTCCCGGAACACGGTGCCGGACAACATCGGGGGGAGGGGGGGGTTCCCTGACTGAGGGGGATTAATTGGGGGGCCCTGGGGGAGCAGACACTCTTACGTGGGTCTATGCACTTCATTTGAAATTAATGTGTCGTAGCATGGCCTTGTTAGCGCCAGAGCTGCGCCATTAAAATGCCGGCCTCTCGTACGTCACTTGGGCTTTCACCAGCCCCAGCAGCGGCGCTCCAGAGAGCAGACCGCACAGCTAATAAACACTCCTGGCCAAAGGAGCCTTGGGCAGGGGGTGGGGGGACAGGGGGGAGCAGCAACTGATTTATCCAGCTTTGAAGTGCCACTCAGCTACATTTGGCCCATAAATCACAGGAGCCAGTTTAGGGCTAAGTACTGGGATCAAGTCGCAGTGTTGTGACAGACCGGAACCAGGGTGGGTGCTTGTCTGGTGCTGGGGGGAAGGAGCAGAAATGTAGAGACAGAAAAACAGGGGGGGGGGGTGTCCAAGGCATCCTCCAGACCTTCAGAGAATTAATGAGCCGTTCTCGCTCGGACATCATAGTGAAAGCGGACCCGAGGTGATCCCACGGCCGTCTGAGAAACACGAACCGCCAAATCTGTTGACTGACTTTTCAAAGAACTCGCTGTCTTTCAACAACCAAACCTCAAACCTAAATCCTTAAACCTTAGACCTGAGCAGAAGTGCCCGCCTGGATCTCTGTCACGATGGCCCAGCTGACTGGGTGCACGGTCAGAAAGACCCGTCTGGCTGCTAAAGATCGACGAAAGCTTACCGTGGGGCAATGAAACAACTTTTTCAAGCAAATAATAAACTGCATATTATACAAGTACACAAAAGCCAAAACAACAATAAAAGGTCCATGATGCACATTCTGTGGACTGAAAACCACCGAAAACATGCCGAGTTGAGTGATGCGAATAAACATCGGTACCACTGACGAGACACCTTACCGTATCCAGTCTGCGAGACCAGCTCAGCTGCTCCCCCTATAGGTTTTGTGAAGACTCCCACAATGCCTTTCCCCACTCCAGAGATGACGCCTTTGGCCTTGCTGCCGGCAGAGCCCGGGGTCTCCCAGGTCCTCTGGAAGTTCTGCATAGGTTGGTCGACGATCCCAGCGATGGCACCTGCATACACACACACACACACACACACACACACACACATGGTTCGGCGAGCGTGTACACATTTGTGCACGTGTACGTGAGCGTAGACACGGGGGGTGAGGGCACCCACCCAGAAGGCTGATTCCCAGGCGGGACAAGCCCTGCCGTAGACCATCTCCCAGGCTCTCTGGCAGCTGCCTCCTCCACTCCTCCTGACGGGTGTAATGGTCCTCGTCCAGAGACAGCCGGTCCATGTTGCGGGCCAGGCTGGTGGCCAGGTTGGTGATGGACGTCAGCGTGCCTGAGGGGGGGGGGGGCAGGGAAACTCAGCAAGGAAGAGCGACTCACCTGCACCCGACTCCCCACCCTGGGCTGCGCAGTCGCAGGGCCTCACCTTTGGAGATGTGCTTGACGAATGAGGTGGTTCCACGGGAGACGCCGCTGACGAAGGCACCAGGCCCGCGGGTCAGGCCCTCGTACGGCAGCCGGAAGAAGTCGGAGATGCCGTTTCCCACGCTGCGCACCAGGCTGGCCGGGCTGCCCAGGATCTCCAGGGATCCCACCACCCAGCCTTGGGGGGGCGGGGCACGGAGAGACGTGGTGAGCAAAGAGGCTCCTGACTGAATTCTAAGCCGAAAGCGCGGACCCGTGCCAAGGCAGGGATGTCACCCCCCCGCAGCCTGTCCACACCCATCCTGTAATTACGCCTGTTCATTATTAGTCCATTAAATTATCAAGCACATATGAAAAGAATGAAGCAGATTTGAGAGTTTAGTCACGTGGAGTCTGCAAACACACTGTTAAACAACCTCACATGACAGAGGCCTGGGATTTATGCTCTAAGCTGCCCGCTCTCGCTCGGCAAGAGGACAGCGATTGGCAGTATTTATTTGCTGCGAACTGCATTACAGAATCTAAAAAGGCGCCTTTCATGCGGTTTTTCGCAGATCATTCCTCTCCTTCGCTCTCACGCCGACGGCTCTGCGTCGCTCTACGGGGCGTTTGCATGAGCCGCGCTTTTCGCTGCGGCTCCATAATGACGACATGTTCAAAGGAGGCCAAGAAAATACATTTTGGGGGGGGGGGGGGGGGGGGGGAGAAGAGAAACAGCCTCACGGCACATGCGGGTATCGGCACACCGATTCGTGACCAACCAGAACCCGCAGCTGGAATTTTCCACGGTTTGGACAGCAGTCCATTAAAACAGGCTGTCCATCCTCACACTCACTTATGGCGTCTGCTTGCTGGTTTGAGCGTATGCATGTTCCTGTGTGTTTTTGTTTTGCGGGAGTAAGACTCACCTGCCCTGAAGAGGGCACCAGCAGCGTAGTGCATGGCCAGGGCGTGGACCAGCTGCCGGGCCGTGGTGCAGATGGGGCCCCTCTCGAACAGCGAGAAGGCCAGCGGCGTGTGGTCCGAGGCGATGTAGAGCTTGAGCGAGGCGTGCACGCTCACCAGCAGGCTCACGGGCTGGATGCAGAGCCGACGCAGCCGCAGCGGACGCACTAGTGCCCGTACCGATTCCCGCACGGCCTCGGGCACGTCGCTGGCCCCGTGGCCCCGCCCCCCATTCAGCACTGCATCCGGGACGTACGTGTGGAACAGCGTCTTGATGTAGTAGACGAAGGTGTCCTCCAGGTAGACGCGGGCGGGCTCCAGCTGGAAGCTGACCTCGTCCACGCCGTGGCCGTTGGCCGACAGCAGCAGCCAGAGCCGCAGGGAGCAGGAGGCCTTGAAGTCATCGAGGCCGTGCGGCATGCTGGCAGGGTTGGCCTCCGCCGTCCAAGGGCCTGGCTCCGCCCACTTTTCTTGGCACAGCAGCACGGGGAAATGGAAGCTGGCACGGTGGTACAGCTGATTGTCCAGCTGAAGCCCGGCACAGTACATCTCCAGCATGGCGCCCTCTGCTGGCCCTGCCCCAGTGGTGCCCGCCTGGGCCTGACTCAAGTTCAGGAGCAGCTTAGACAACGTGAGGCGGAGCAGCTCCACTGAGCCCGCGGGGCTGGTGATGTCATCACGCAGCGCCAGGCTGGCCGCGCTCAGCAGCACCTGGAATGCCAGCGTGCGCTTGGGCAGCCTAGGACAGAAAAATGCACCAGTATTTTAGGATCTACCTCTCCGTCTGGTTCTGGGACAGAAAACACCCAGAGAAATACGCTGGCAGACCGGAAGCGTCACCCACAGAGTTTAATAAAGACTCTCTAAGTGAACTGATTCTTAAAAAGAAAAACACAGAAACTTGTTGCGCTGTTTTTAATTTGCATTCAATTAGCAAGAATCTGCTCTGAATTCAGAAGGCAAGCAGTGAGAATGGAGCTTGTTAACCCAGTTGAGAGCAGGGAAAAGGGTCCAGTGGTACCTGCCTGCGTGTGTGTGTGGCAGTGCGCGTGTTTATGTGTGTGTGTGTGGCAGTACGCGTACCTGTGCTGCTCACTCAAGATGGAGTCCATCTTGGCTTCAGGGGCCAGTGTGAGGATGATGGTGCCACTGCAGAGCTGGACGTGGATGTACAGGCAGCCAAAGCTAGGGAGGAAGAGCACCTGTAAAGACACACAGGGTCAGCAAGTGCTGTGCTGTATGCGCACACACACACACACACACAGCTCCTATATTCCTATTATTGTGGGGACTCTCCATTTACTTCTATGGGTAAAACCTGAACCCCTACCCAGCCCTAACCATCACCAGAAGAAAACAAACACAAGACATTTTTAGTTTTTTGATTGCATTCACAGATTTTTCATAAAATTCAGCTTTACATTATGTGACCTGAAAACTGTCCCCACATGCTAGAGTGTCTGGGCACTTTTCTGAGGTACCAAACGTACGGTACTTCTTGTTGGTTTTCCACTGGCGTAAAAACTGGCACTAGCGCTGAATTACATGACAACACGAGGAGGGGGGGACATTGTACTGAATTCTAAAAATGGTATGTGGTATATAGGTCCATGTCCGACATTAATATCCACATCACATATTATTTACATGGAATTTGTACATTGTAAGCACCATGATAGTCAGCTGGGTTGAGATTAGGCGAAGGGAGTTTAAGTTTGGCTGATTCATCGTTACTCTGCGAGATCCACAATTTTAATGATTGTTCCTTTTCAAGATTATCGAGTATAAGTTTAAAAAAATCAGGTCACCGCCTCTGCTTCTGCATCAGCTCTGCATGTGTTTCTCCAAGCCAATCAATCATTTTCATCCTTGCTGTTTAAATCATTCCCAGACAAGTTTGTGAGAAATTAACTCCTTTTTTACTTTATAAATATCCCAGTATTTACTTGAAATTAATTTCCAATATCATGATGCCCTAGTATATTATAGCAAATACTTTGTATTTTTTGTCATGAATTTTGTTGAATCTGGTCTTCCAATCAGATCCCAATTAAAACGAGGGTCTCTTCATTTGTCCACACATGCATTATTATTATTATTATTATTATATTTTTTTTATACTTTGTTAATCTTTGTTTGTAACTATGCTTTTTCAGGTTGCCAGATGTTTTGTGTGTTTGTGAAGCAGGTTACTTTCATAACCATTTGACAAACATTTGCAAGTGTCCCCTCAAACCACCAAAAAAGTATCCAGCTGGTTTGGGAATTTTAGTACCGGTACCTGATCAGAACTCAAGGAAAAAGGGAAAGTACCAAATTTTTTGTAGCAAAAGTATGGTACTTGGTACAGTGGAAAAGCATCCTAAGAGGCTTGAGTCCCCACAATGTGATTAATACAACCCCCCCCCAACACACACACAAGCAGACATACACACTTTTGGCATCAACTCTAGGCTGGCCTGCCACAGAGCCTCAGACGTGGAGTTCCTGACCCGGCAGTAAAAGGAGATGCTGGCTCACAGACATCAGTACAGCCCCCCACCCCCCGGTCCTGTCTGGGGCCAGACAGGACCGCAAGGCTGGGGGACTCAGCCAGCCTCACTGCCTGCAAGTAATTCCTGAACGGACTCACTGCAGTATCGGTGCACTTGGTTCTAATCGAATAACTGTGAACTCTATCACTAATAGTCAAGAAGAGACATACGACCAGAACATCTTTCAAAATGCATGAAAAATGTGTGAAATTTAGACAACTGTTACATTCATAGCCTGAAGATACATAACGTGGTACAACTCAATAAAAGCCGGCAAACAATAACAACATTGCGCAAATAATGTTTGTCACTGTTTTCTATTATGCTATGGGAGGGGAGGGTTCACCGCCCCCCTGTGGCAGCTCATGGGAATGCAGACATCAACAGCCTGGTCTCGGAGAGCGGAGCAGGGACCTGAGGGCCCGGGCAGCTGATGTCCACGGCGTCTGTCCACTCCGCAGAGGTCTGCGCCTCGGGTGCGAGTCGCAGAAACAGGGTGGATGGCGCCTCCTTCTGGCGGCAGTCAGGAAAGTTGGAATAGTGCTGGTACAGCTCATGGTGCAGGGACGAGTTGGCAGGGAGCAGCCGGCAGTACACCTCAGTCCGGGGGGTCTCTGTGGGGACATGTGCACACGTGTGGATATGCAGACGCACAGACACACCAGCAGAGATGAGGACAGCCAGGCGTTAAGGCTGATCAGCTCCTTCTGCTCGGCTCAACGAAGGTTTGAGGAGCAGACAAGACAGCAGACTAGAGGTCCACACAAGATTCACTGCATTATAAGCCCTGCACTGCATTTCCTCTAAATAACCATGAAACAAAGAGCTCATAATTGCATTTCCTCTAAATGACCTTGAAACACAGAGCTCTGCACTGCATTTCCTCTAAATGACCTTGAAGCTCAGAGCTCTGCACTGCATTTCCTCTAAACTACCTTGAAGCTCAGAGCTCTGCACTGCATTTCCTCTAAATTACCTTGATGCTCAGAGCTCTGCACTGCATTTCCTCTAAATGACCTTGAAGCTTAGAGCCCTGCACTGCATTTCCATAGGATGACCATTAGTACTTGTAGTAAATGCAGAACCGTTAATGACGGCCACAGAGAAGGACCCCCTACCTCTGAGGTTCTCCTTCAGCAGGAGGGGGATGGGACACTGGTTGTGGATTAGCATGTGGGGACAGGGGTCCTCATTCAGCGTGATGTAGGTGACGCCAAGGTGTTCCTGATACGTCATCACCAGGGCCCTGCAGACAGGCAGAACAGCTGTCACACACGCATGCAAACACAGTGCCTCCTCTTCCCTGACAGAAGTTTCCCTGGGATTATTACAGCTAGGAAGAGCCTGAACAAGCAGATGCTGTGAAATCATTTCTGCGCCCGAAGGTCTAATCACAGCAGGGAAAGGTGTCCAAACAGATACGAGAGAGTGCTGGGGTTTGGCCCCATAACTACACCATGAGGATGCTGGAAAATATGAGCTGGTGTTTTCGGGCCTGATCGGCTCTTTTGGTAATCCACCCACCTGGTGCTGGTCCCGGTACGAGCACATGGGGCTCCTGGTACCGCCACGCTCTGGCGGGGGAAGTCAGGTCGGATGGGTGCTGGCAGACTCCAGGGGACAGACCCTGGCCCTTCCTCTGGGGCGATGCTGAACACCATGTGCCTTTGGGGAGGCAGAACCTCCGTCTCAGCCAGGGAGTCCAATCTTAGGACATCCCAGCAGGGGACCGAGCAGGTCTGGGGGGAATCCAGGGCATGGCCGGGGGGGAGGGAGCAAACCGTAGTATCTGGGCAGTCAAAGGGCTGCAGTGCAGATAAATAGATAAAAAAGAAGGAATATCACTACAGCAGCACCCTGTGTTTATGGATATCGACATCCCTGTATAGCACAGCGTGTCAGCCTGTGTTTATGGATATCGACATCCCTGTATAGCACAGCGTGTCAGCCTGTGTTTATGGATATCGACATCCCTGTATAGCACAGCGTGTCAGCCTGTGTTTATGGATATCGACATCCCTGTATAGCACAGC